AAAAGTGTAAAACTTACGTCGGCACTGTAAGATTTACACAATATTACATCGGCATTGTAAGATTTATGCAAGTTTACGCTAAATTAATTTCCTGATGATATATGAATTTTATACCCACAATCCAGGACTGCTCCTTAAATAACAGATAACTGACAAATTTAATAGCCCATATATTTGTAAGTAAATGTAGTTTTTTACTTTTGATTCACATAGTTTGATATAAGATTTTTTTTATGTAACATAATAAATGCATGACTTTCTATGGGTGCAAAAAATCGATTACTATTATTATTACTATGAAATTTAAAAAATTTGCCTGGATCGGCATTAATTAAATCATTCCTTAACTGGTGGATCACGAATTAGCTCATCGAAAGCTGCAGCTGGTATCCTTAATTACAATATAAACTAGAATAACGAGTTCACCATCATTGAAAGATTTTCTTTTAGGAAACAGTTGGAATTATTATGATTGTTTTCTGGATGTCCAGATTGCCCTTTTTTGAAATTCATTTATAATTATAACATTAATTAAAGTGGAGTTTATCATTATACAGTAATATTAAACTTCTCTGTTGATCTGCAGGATACATCACACAACCAATATTTTTTTGTTTACATAAAATGAAGATTACATCTTTGAAACTATAGTATTATTAAAAAAGGAGCTAATCAAAAGACAGTATAATTAATAACAGCTGAATTATGAACAAACAGCATATGGATCTTTGAGAAATCTTTGGTTTATTTTATTTTGCTCACTCTTTCATTCATCTATTCATTAATTAAAAGAAAATGTGTAACTTCAAAAAACAGATAATGGGGAAACATAACATAGTTAATACTAGTAGATAATGAATAATATTACTATTTATATAACATCATATTAATATTTGTTTTTTCAAAAAAACAGATCTACCAATTAAACATTGGGATTGGATTATTGTTCAAAGCATAATGGTGGATGGTAAGTAATAATATATCAATTACTAATAATACTTCTTATTATATATATATAATGTATTAATGAGGTTTACTATTATGATTATTGTTACATATGCAACTGATTTATTATAATGGCTTATTGTTAACATGGTAAGTAATAATAATTTATTAATAATAATTTATTGTATAACATTCATTGTATTAATGGGTTTATTATTATGCATGTGACCATCAAGGTAATAATAATATATTACTAATAATTCTTATTGTATCAACGGGATTTACTGGTTTATTGTTACGCATGGTAAGTAATAATATAATAATTCTTATTAAATATATAACATTGTATTAATATTTCTCTTCTTCCAAAATGAGATTTGCTATCACTATTATTGTTATGCACATGACCATCAAAGCATAACGCAGTAAGTAATAATATAATTTTTATTATATATATATATAACATTGTGATTAATATTTCTTTCTTCCAAAATGGTTCATAGTTAAACAATGGGTTATTTTTACACAACAATTAAAGAAAAAAATTAGTTATCATCATTATTATTGCTATTTATAAAATTTATTTGTATTTAAATAAATAAATAAAATTATTTAAAACAATATATTTTCTAGTAATTTTAAGAATAAATCAATTATAAATCAAGTATAGTTCAGGTTTAATTTAAGTATAATTTAAGTATGGTTCAAGTATGATAAGTAGAAAATAAGTAGAAAATCATGCTTAATTTCTACTTAAATTTGCAAGGAACGAGAATGTTTTAAGTGTTTCCCCATAATAGTCAAAATGTGCTTAAATTACACTTGAAATATGCTTAAAACATACTTATTTCATGCTCAAAGCATTAATTAATTCTACTTAAATTAAGTGAGTTTTGAGCATGAAATAAGTATGTTTTAAGTGTGCAAACTTTGCATAAGGCATTTTTCTCTGAAGGAGCTAACAAGCATTAGGATATGTGGTGGATTTCGCTACCAACCATGTCCAGGAATGAAAGATAAGTTGCATGTTGATGAAGAATATGCAATTTACTTTAACAAAACATACAGTAACAATGCAATGAGATATCATGTGTTGAAAACTAGTAGTATTGATAATATTTCATATCCTTCCTATGATTTTATGATGTTGAATGTGACAAGCATACAGAAGGAGGGTTATGGAATTATTGACACAATGGTTGTAGATCATGGTAATGGTGGACTTTTAATAAATAATGCAATCAAACCCAATTTAAAAACCAATGGGAGTCTTAGCTGGTCAATTCAAGGCTTGTGGTTGTAACCACATGTCAGTTGTCATTCAACCAATCTCACAATAATTTCATGGGAAAACAATACCTCCTCTTTGTTTACTGATTGGATAGGCTATGTGGTTATTAACAACACTGATATAAATTCACCATATATAAGTACAATCAATGATTGAGACCAATCAACCAATCTTCCAGCAAAAAGCAACTGGTATAGTCGTTTTATACAATCTCTTCTTATGCAAGAATTAAATATGACAGCAAATGGAACTTTTTTTGAGTCACCTGTTCTTAAAGTTAATTTTGAGGAGCCAAAAACTGTTAATTCAGGAAAATCACTTAATAGTTATTTTGATTCTGATGTTAAATTTAACTCAACACTTAGCTTGTATGCTTTAATTGAGTGTGAATGATATGGTAAAGTAGACAATCTTACAAAAAATGTAGTTGGTGTTGACTGCTGGATATTACTTGGATTTCCCATACATACTACATGAGGAATTGAACAAACTTTGTACAGCTGTGCTAGTGTAGTTGAAGCAAGTGTAAAGACCATCAAATTGCAATCCAGTATAACAGGATCAACTAATGTAATAGATGTGCAAACTATCCCAGCACAATGGTATATTGAAAAGGGAACCCTTAATATTGCTGAAATGAATCCTTGGTGGGGAGGAGTTGAATTTGGAGAAAAACTTCCTAATAATAGTTTATTAGTAAGCAAAAATACTCTTTTATTACCAGCAGGAGCTTCCAACATATGGAGTATTAATGCCAATGCAAATGCTGCTTCTGCTCCTGCTATGGCAGTTGACATGATGCGTAAGCTTGAGGATAGTTTAAAAGGTTATCGAGGAGATGGGATTGGAAATTTGGCGTTATTACAACAATGGAAAGAAGAGGGATTAACTGAAAAGGATATAAGTGGTATGTACAAACGCCAGTGGAATGATATTATGATCAATATGGTGACTCCTACCAACCAGGCTAAAATCGTTGGTACCACTCAATTTACGGTGAACAAAACATGCTATGATGTACAGTTTGCTACACAGTACTTGATAGCCATGTTTGGTCTAATAATTATATTCTACATACTTTTAGCAAGCCTTAGAAATGTAGATGCTTTCAATTCATTGATTAAAATTAGACATGTCGTTCAACAAATGGATCTTGGTAAAGTAATAATAAATGTACTGGAATATGGAGAGGCAAACACAGTTGGCCCATCACAATAGGTAAAAAAATTAATATCATTGGGCAAAAAAGGGTTTGAAAAACCCGATCCTAGCAAAAACCCTTATCATGATTTATTTATTTGGAATTTTTTTATACATAATTTAATAATTCCTTCATGCTATGAAATAAAAGTTGCACATATGTGCTTTATTGACCCCATGAAAAATAAAATACGGAATTAACGTGTGTTAAATACGTTCTTAAAAATGTAAATTAACGTATTTACGGTTTTGAAAAAATTTCCCTATTCAAATTTAGTATTAGTGTGAAATTGAATTGGTACGGAATCAGCACAGAATTTGAAAAGTAAAAGGTGCATTTTAAATTGTAACACACTGAAAAGGTACGTTTTTGGTTCCGCGCATAAGGCATGGAATTTGTGACATAATAATAAATGAATACATTTATTTTATTCATTATGATTATACAATATTTTATTTAAAATCTATATCATCATCATTATCAATAATTTCAACATTTTAGATTTATATATTTAATATGCAACGGTCGCATTTACTTCGTTGAGAATTATTTCGTCGACAATCATTTCGTCGACACCCATTTCGTCGAAAATTATTTCATCCTCGAGCCAGAGACCGAACGAGTTAGATGTGAGGAGTGTGAGAAATTATTTAAGAAATTAGGTGAGGAAAGCGGGTTGTGTGGGAAGTGTGAGGAAAAATTTGTTTAATGAAGTTTTTTTTTTGTGACGAAATAATTTTCGACGAAATGAACTTTCGATGAAACAAACTTTCGACGAAATGAATTCAGACCAAGCAATGTTATTATTATTATTAATTTATTAATTTTAAAAATGTCGGATAGATTCGCCAGAAAAAATAACGAACAAGTAAAGTTAAAGAAACTTCAAGGCAAGTGTTATTAGAGTAATGTTAGTAGCCATTAGTTAAGATCTAGTTATATACAAACTTTGTAGAGAACCTTCTGAAGCAACAAAATAAACAATAAACATCAATGAGCATTTAAATGGTGATTTAAAAGCAAATGGAATAAAATCATCAACTCCTGGAAAGAAAAGAAAGTGTGTGAGCTTTTCGTCAGATGTTTCGAAGAAGACAGTGCACAAATTACCATAGACAGCAGAACTGTACCATAACAAGCAATTAGACCATGGCATAAATCATGGCCAACAAGAAACAACTACTACAACTACCACCACTATTGTCTGATCAAGAACATTAAATACGTCAATTGACAATTATTTTATGGTTAATGGCCCATTACACTGAAATTCAACAGGAAATTCAACACTTACAACAACTGCAAGAACAACAAAAACAACAACAACAATTATAATTACAATAATTACAACAATAATAACAGCAGCAGCAGCAAAATCATGATCAACAAGAACAGCAACAACAACAATACCACACCTCAAATATTTGATTGTATTAATATATGAATTATTGAGAAATAAATCTGAACTTTCTTACATCTGTAGTTAATGGATGAATATATATATAATAAAATAAATGGAATTTCCTTATATCTATAATAAATAGAATTGGTGGGTGAATATGTATAATAATAAAGCTCCTGACGGGTCGGGTTCGGGTTGATTTTGGGTTAATAAAAAAATTTTGTGATTTACATAAATTCAGATAATAAAATTAATTAAATATAAAAGGCGAAACAGTTGTAATGGTTTAAAAGCTGCAATTGGTGTTATGCGTGACGCAAAACACAATTCATGATGCAAGGGATGCAGGACGCAATTCGTGACTCAAGACGTAACTCAAGGAGATTCGTGATGCAATAGATACATAATTAAAGACACAAGGCTAGCGGATGATGGCCGGGAACTAACCATAGTTTAGGCCTAATCTTGCAGCGAAGTTGGCGAAACTTAAACTGCGGGTTGTTTTATTGAACAAAAAAAAAGAATTGATTTGTTTTATTATTACAAGCCGAATTAGGTCAAAAAAAGAATTATTTTTATGATGATCATAATCTTTTTTAATAAATATAAATAAATAATAGGAATGCAAATATAAAATATTAATAAAAAATACAAAACGTAAGAGACTATATAGATCACATGTCCGGCATACGATTGGACGGTACTTCGATAAATCCGTTTTATTTATCATAAAACTTTGGTCATGGTTTGACAATTTAACCACAGTTTAGGAGTTTACCCATGGTTTAGGTAATTTTTAAGTTACGTCACTGAGTATATTAATATAAGATGTATAAATAAATTAGCCTATCAAATTAAAACTTATAGTTAGTGTCCAACTAAAACTTTTGGGCTTAGAGATTAACTACATGTGAATATGCAGTGTGATTCAAAAAAATGGTGGTTGTGACGTAAAATTATTCAAAGTTGTCAAAAAGATTCCCATTTTTTTTAATAATAGTAAATGTAGTTAGATGATTTACATGTTTGCTAACACAAAATTAGAAGCATAACGTAAACCATTTTGCATTTTTGGATGAATGGTATCCATTCACAAAAGGAAGACAAACATATATTCCTTTGTGCCATTGAGAAAAATTAAAGAATCCGTTCTATTGAACACAAAGGGTCTTCCTTATAAGGTTACACAAAACTTGCCACGTTTTATTGGACAAGTTATTCGCTGTTTCAACACACCAATTTGCAGTTAAACGCATAATGTGTCAATTTCACAATTTACTGTTTAATGACATATGAGAAAAAGGTTACAAAAGTTCCGTACCCCGATACTAACTACACGTCACTTTGAAGCTCGGGTAAAGCTCATTTGAACGACAAGTGGAGTCGTAAGTCCTTACAGATAAAATAGCATTTGATCCTTTTCATTGGTGGCATAAATGCCAGTTTGTAGATTACCAAAATCACGGCAAAAAGTAATGACATGGAGAGGAATTTCATTGATATCATGGTTGGGCCTTACATGTTAACATATTGCAGAACTAGCTTTTACCTGCTCCACAAAGGTCGCATGATAGAAACTGGCGTTTGCGATAATCCGAAGCAAACATCACGTTTTGCGAAGATTACATTGCTGAGAATAGGATTGACTTGATTGACTGGCCATTCAATAGACCTGATCTCAATCCGATGGAGAACATGTGGTAAAGAAGAACGCTTAAAAATTTGATGAATTGAAGCAATTTATGGTTGAAGAATGCCTCAGTAGACAGTTAAAATATTATTATGTCTGTGAAAAAGAGACGTGAATTAGTTTTAGAAAAAAACGATTATAGAATTTCTTATTAATTTAAATAATATACTTTTTACATATCACAATTTGTAACTTAAAAAGGCTTTAAACATCTAACGAATGATATATTAGCATAATACAAGAATTCAGCAATGAAACATTCTATGACAATTCTATGAATTATATCTTAATACTATGAAGTTGAGAAGCCATGCAAAACTTATGACGGCTGTGTTTGGTTATTTCTTTTAATATGATACATAGAACACAAGCTAAGATGGTTCAAAAAAAAAACAATTGAGCGGGCACACACAAATCCATTCTAGATAAAAAAAAGATAGACGGGTACTAAGATCCAGGAGAAAGGAGAGACACACTGAAATTGATTAATAATCGGGACGATTGATTGATTGAATTGATTGATAATATTAATGCAGTACATATTCAATATCAAACAACATAAAAGGAAATACGTGAAATACAGAAGAAGCTCACGAAATAGAGAGAAAAGCAAAAGAAGGATTCACCAAGCTTAATTTACAAACTTATTTATTCATATATTGATTCACGTTATTTTAAATATGTTAAATTTGATCGTTAATTTTATCGTTTTTGATTGGTTGAGTTTTTTTAAATGATGCCGAAATCATGTCCTTTTTAAGTTAAACGAAATATACATTATTGAAGAAGAATAAAAGTGGCTTTAATAAATTCATTTACAGCAAATGAAACCAAAATATTATCAAGCGTTTTATTATTGTATGAGATTTCTTTGGTCAAGTATAAATGTCCCAATACCCTGGTCTATAAGATACAAAGTAAAGTATTCAAATTATAATATTAAAAACTTGCGCGATAACTCTTTAAGTTTCGATTTTCTATGTATATGCATGCGCAGACTTGAATAAATGGCATCATGGAATAAATATATTATAGCGTTAAAATGCTGTATCAAACAAAATTACCTGATTTACATGGCCACTTAACAGTTGTTTCTTCAAGAAATAATTTATCATCATCGAATTTAATATGTTCGTTTGTTCTTTTTCAAATAATGCCATAATATGTTTCTCAGATATTATAAGATATATACACATCTATGCATGCATTTTAAATGCACGTGTGCACACACAGACTATCAAAATTCAAAACTTCACTATCTGGTCCATCGTAAATAACACATGTAAAGCAGAAGTTTGAATATGATTTTGTGTTTTAGCTGCTGTGAAAAATATGTTCAACGACAACATTAGAAAAGTTTTCCGAGTATACGCATGCATATTTTACATTTTGTGGATATGTATATTAATATTAATATATACTGTAATAGTAAGTACTATGGCGTGCAGATTTTTGGTTTTAAATTGTGTGCATATTTGTCTTAATGCATATAATATATATTATCAGAAAAGGAAAAAAAATCACCCATTATAATAATAAAGGGGTTTTTTCCTAGGGGTAAGTAAATATATTAATTTAGAATATATGGGGCATGCTCACCCAATCCAAGAGGTTTAACCTTAGGATCGACGTCTCAAATAGTAAGGTTAACCCTTGTTGTAGACCCTTGGATTGGCTGGGCATGCAACAAAGTGAACATTTGTACTACGAATGATTACAGGACCAATTAAATAATTGGGGGACATGTAATTGTTGTAAATTATTATTTAAAAATCAAAACAGTTGTCGAAGGCAGTTTAAGACCTATGAAATTCCCTGTTGAATGGAACACCTCACCACCAGACTTAAGGTTGCTTGCCAAAAATCCTCCAGAAATCAATCAGCAGGGTTTCGGCAGGTTACACATTAATTGTTTATTATACTTGTATGTTTTTCATATGACTCAATTAATTGCATCAAAAAGTCACCCCATTGAGTCAAGTGTAAGCATGTTAGCTGAAGTTGACTCTCTTAATAAAGGTGTAATAGTTTTTCATAAATGCTGAAGTTAATTTTATTAGTTGCCAAAATTATATCTGAAATTATTTGGACTCTTTGATTAAATATTAAAAGGCTGGGTAGATTTTTTATGCCTATTGATACAAAGAATATTGTAAATACAAAATTGCTTACCAAAATTGATTTTTTCAAAAACCATTTTAACTAACATTCTTATCAACCTATTTCTACCATAGTTAACAAGTTTGGAAATTGTCCATACAATGAATAAGCAAAATCAGTCAATTCTCTTGGAAAATATATTAACTTAAAAAAAATAAATACAATGGAACAAATTACAATAGATAGATTCATGTCTTGAAATTTTTTTTTTAATTTAAAAACTTTAATTAGTGTCACATGAGTCACCAATATGTGCAGCCAATAAATGCTTTAATTCCCTAAATGCCCAAGGGGGGTGCACTTAGGGAGGTTGACTGTAACAGTTTTAAATCGAATTTAATTAATGAAAAGAAGCACGAACTAAATTTATGGTATTTTACCAAAATCATTTTCCTGTTGCTGCTTCATTATATACAACATAACAATCCATTGCAGATAAGAAGGATGGTCGAATTTATCTCACGCATAAAATTTTAAATTTTGCAATGTTCTCAAAGAAGGATTTTCTTATACATTCCATTTTCTTGGCTGGCATTACCTAACTCGCCGGGATCAATTTTGGAGCTAGAATTTCAGCTGATGTTCTTTTGTTCTGATTACTGGCCGCGCGGGTCTATTTTTCATTTCCAAACTTTAGTCTGGTAGACAGCCTCTACTTTTTCTCGGGTGGTTTGTGAGCGCACTCACCTAAATTTAAACCTATTGAATTTACTTCAACTGTCACTGCAAAAGTAGGAATCCCAATATTTTGCAATAAACTCCGCAAAAAATTGTTTATGAACCAGAGCTCGTTGAACAACACCCAAAAAAATAAGATAAATGAATTAATTGCCTTGGCATGAAAATTTTCGATAATTTATATACAACCCTAGAAGAAAATATAACAATAAATACAATAGCCTTTTTTAGAAATATAATGTTTTCCCCCGCCAAGTAGTATTACAAAATTATTCATCATTGATCGTCCGACCACGAATTAATAATAATAATAATTAATTAAATTAATCAAACCAATTTTTTATTAGTTATCGAAAAAATACTCATAATAAGCATAACTACGCCACAAGGTAAGAATAACCTGATTTGTTCAAAACCATTTTTTAGAACTAGAACATATTAATATTAATATTACTGTATAAAAATGGTAAATTTGGAACCACGTAAAAAAGCTAAGCTATTTATTTATTTACTATATGTTATCATAATTACGAGGGTCCCAGAGGTTGTTTTTTGCTGGAGACCGAAAATGACGTAAATGTTAGCATAGTCAGTATGGTTATTACATCCTTCTTTCTTGTATGGCATTTTCCCTTTAAAGCACTACCATAATTTTTCTTCAAGTATTTAGAACCTTGAGTTGAACCCTTGAAAAATCTTTGGTGGGCTTTGCAATCAATGATTGGCTGCTGTGGCTTAATACCTCTTTATATGGATAGATAGGTGCAATTGAACACAAAAATAAAAAAAACTTGAGTTTATTAATAGAAAATCCTAAAAAAAAAAAAAAAAGTAAAAAAAATTTATTAATTTATTAAATTATGTACTACCACTTTTTAATGTAATAATAATAAATAAAACAATAAATAATAAATAAATAATAATGCTACATATACATGAACGGACGAACCTTCTTCTCAAAAGAAAAACTCTTAGAAAATTTTTATTTATTTTAATTTTAATAAAAACTATTCTATAAAATAAAATAAGATAAAAATATTCTTATTTTTTTCTTTATTTTTAATATTCTGATCATTACTGACCTCTTTTAACTTAAAAGAGATTAACATTCATTCTTTTAATTAATATATAAATAAAAAATTGTTATAATACTTAATAATAGTAATACATGGGCTCATTACCCCTTTTTAATCAATGGTTTATATGGCTTTTTGCCTTGACAACATGGATAATATGTGTTAATGGTAAATTATTATTTTCATTCAATTTCAAAACCATAACTCAAACTTAAAAATATTAATTATTTATATCTTTTTCAGCTGATAGTTATTCATCAAACCCTTTGACATATTTGGAATTTGTTAGTGATCCTAGTATAGATATACTTCCTAGAAATAGATTTGAGTCACACAATCAAGAATATTTAATACAAGATTTAGATGATAAATCATTACGACATGATGACTCAATGCGTATACGATTTATAGCGTTTAATAGGACATTTAATCTTCATCTTGAACCTCATTACGATTTATTACATCCCGAAGCCACCATCACCATACACCATGCAGACGATACCAGCACCACAACACGATTACTACTTGACGATCATAGGTTGTATAAAGGATATTTATTAGATGTTAAATTTACCGATAAACGATTAACTGAGGATATGATTGGTTTAAAGAGAAAATCCTTATCAGAAGAACTTTTTGGTTCTGTTGGTGTCCTTGGTTGGGCAAGTATTCATGTTCACGATGATGGAAGGTAATTATTATTATTAACTTTGAAAAAAAAAATTTTTTCAATGTAATATTTAACAATAGCAAATTAATTGTAATTTTTTTTTTTTAAGTCGATCAAACAGGAAACCAATATTTGAAGGCGCATTTTCCTATAATAATGATATATATCATATTAAAACTATTGAGAATTTCAAAATAACCCGGTTTAGAGATGATCCAGCAATACCCAATCTTTCTGCACGTCATATTAATCATCGTTATGCTACAATGGTTATATTTCGTGATTCTGATATAAAAAATTCTGATCATAATCGAAGATCTTTAACCGATGAAAATGTACAAACTTGCGGCAGCGATGATATTCTTGGTATCAAAACTAACAGAAATGACCATCTTTTAACTCATACTGATGAAAATTCTAATCCACTTTCTCCATGGTGGAAAAGATTGGACTTTAGTTCAAACATAAAAGGAAACTTGGATGTTTCCTATCATAGTAATAGTAATAATTTATTTAAAAGAGGTGCGTCAGGTTGTCCAGATGCTAGAAAAGTTGCTTATATGGTTTGTTTTTATTCTTTAACTTCATTTATTTTATACACTTATCCCCCCAAAAAAAGAACTCTTCTAATCAAGTCATTTATCCTATCAATGAATATTCATTCAAAAAAAAATGTGTTTAGGGTGCAGCCGCTGATTGTACATATGGTATGTTATAATATTATTGTCGGTTTTTAATTCTAATTATATTATAAATTACTTTATAAATTCAAAATAAACCTTATTTCTCTAAAAAAAACCCCTCCCTTTTTTTTCCTAGTCACTTCCTATAAATCGAGTGATGCAGCTCGAAAACAAATACTCACTGATTGGGGTACTGCATCTGCTGTTTATGAAAGAACTTTTAATGTGACGCTTGGTCTTATAAAAATTGATATACGTGATGCAGCATGTCCTGCTACCCCCGATAGTGCCGTACTTTGGAATAGAGATTGTAGTGATAGTTATTCTATAAATACTCGTTTAAGTGATTTTAGTTTATGGAGGGGAAAACTTACTAGTAAGTATATTTCCCTCGTTTATTTAACTATTTTTTTCGATATATAAAAATTTATTTTTTGGATAAATACGATCAAATTTTAATTGTTAAATATTTTATAGATGATACTGACACAGCTTTATGGCATCTTATGTCAAAGTGCAAGTAAGTTAAAGAAAAAAAATATTATTTAGTAGTTATATCATCATCAACAACATTGATCTCATGTTATTTTAAAAAAAAATTTTTTTAACTTGTGATGCTTGCTTTTAACTAATACATATTTATAGTACTGGATCAAAAGTTGGTGTTGCATGGTTAGGTCAGCTTTGTACGATTACAGCAAATTCTCAAACCACTGGTAAATAAATAAAAACTTTTTTATATTATATTTCCATGTATTTATTATATGTATTATATATTTAATCACTCGTAATCATAATTAAAATTAATTTAGAACAAGGTACAGCGTATGTATCAGGAACTGGTGTATCAACCATAGTTAAAGATGAATGGAAAGTTGTTGCTCATGAAATTGGACATGGATTTGGTAATTAACATTAAAAGTTAATAATATTTACTAATTATAATTGTAATAGTATTTAACATTATAATAATAATGATGATGATGATGATGATGAATTTTAGGTGCATCTCATGATTGCATAGCAGCAAATTGTCCTTGTACCAGTGCTGCTCAATGTAATTGTTGTCCATTATCCTCAACTGTTTGTGATGCCGGCGGCAAATATATAATGAACCCAACTAGCAATGTGCTTACAAATGATTTTAGGTAAAAAAAGTTTTATTTATTTATTAAGGTTACTTAAATATATGCATATTAATTAATATATATTATTTTATTTAGTCCTTGTTCAATTCAAGATGTATGTAGTATGCTATTAAGTATTGGTACTTGTCTTAAAGGTTTGTATTTATATTATATTATATTATATTATATATATATATATATATGCATTCTTAAAAAGATATGAAATTTATAAATTTATAAAATTTATAAATATACATTTAATTTTTAGATCCAAGTGATACAAATTCAAAAATTTTAAGTCAAGCTATGTGCGGAAATGGTTTAAAAGAAGATGGCGAAGAGTGTGATTGTGAGTAATAGTTAGTTACTAATTATATACATATATATATATATTCAATATTCTTTACTCAAAATAAAATTTTATATAAACAGGTGGCACTGATTGTCAAAATGATCAATGTTGTGATGGCACTACTTGTAAATTCAAACCTGGTGCTGTATGCGCGTAAGTTGACTATTTATTTTGATTGCTAGAATAATTTAATGAATAAAGTATTCATATAACTAACAATTTGTATGCAAATTCACATGTATATACTTGTAGTGATTCAAACGATCTGTGTTGTCTAAATTGTAAATATAAAACTGCCGGTATAGTTTGTCGACCACCAACTTCTAATTGTGACATAAGCGAAGTATGTACTGGCACGTCTGGGGATTGCCCTGTGGATAAACACATTGATGATGGAACTACTTGTGGCACAAATCTTGAATGTGCCGGTGGTATATGCACTTCAAGAGATGCGCAATGTAATGTACGCGGTTCTAAAATGGGTATCACCAAAGCATGCTCATCTGTTGAATCCACGAGTTGTGTAATAAGTTGCTTAAATCCTAATGATACTCGTTCATGTCTTGAAATGAGTGGATATTTTGTGGATGGGACACCGTGTGGTCTTGCTGGCAGATGCAATAAAGGACAATGTGCTAATGGATCACTATGTAAATTATTAATTAATCAATCAATCAATTTATTTATTCAAGTAATTTGCAAATAATAATGATGATATCTTCTTTTAATGTTAAAAAAAGTTCAAGCTATAGGATCTTGGATAGCAAAAAACCTAAAAATAGTTATTCCTGTTGGAATAATTATCGGGCTTATGATATTAGTTTGGTATGATATTGATTATTGTCGTTATTATTGTCATTATTACTATTTTTCTTTCCTCTCTTTTAAAAAATGAAACTAAAAAAACTTTTCCCCCAATAAATAGTATATGTAATTGCGTTTATCGTTCTCGTAAAAAGCGACGCTTGGCAAAAAATAAACTGTCAATATCATCGACTGATAGCTCCAGATATCTTTATTCTCCTGTAAATCCATCCCACACAACTGCCAATCTATCCAGAAGCAACCGCATCGCAACCGGTGATAATACTCCTACTCCAAGTGGATGGGTTGACCCTACACCTTACAATGGACCCAAATCACCCCCTGAAACACATCGAAACGTACCCGCCTCATCACAGCCACGCGAAAGGATAGTGCCAATGCCAGATCCTTATCATTATAATCGATCTACGGATCGGTTATTTCCTGGCTCATCATCTTCTTCTTCATCCTCATTATCATCATCATCACCATCACCTCCACGTCCACCACCTTCAGCACAAACAACATCACATCAGGTGTACGATAATAATAACAACAACAACAACAACAACAACAATAATAATACAAGGTCTGTTTCACCACGTCAAATGTATGATAATACAAGGTCTGCTTCACCACGTCAAATGTATGATAATACAAGGTCTGCTTCACCACGTCAAATGTATGATAATACAAGGACAAATCAACCATCAAATCAAATGTATATCAATACAATGACAAATCAACCAATACAGAGACAAGATAATCAATCACCGCTGAGCGGTAATAATAGAAGGCAAAATTCACCACATCAAATGCAAATTAATACAAGAACAAATCAACCACCTTCATCACACCAACTTAATCCAAGGACCAATCAACCAATACCACGACAAGATAATCAATCGCCAATATTATCACCATCAGGCAGTAATAGAGGGCACAATTCACCACCAATACAACGACAAGATAATCACTCGCCAATATTCTCAGTATCAGGTAATAATAATAGAGGGTATAATCAACCTGATCGTAATGAACCTTATAACAACGATCAATCAAGATAAGATGAAGTTAAAAATTATAAAATTGTCATATATACATTCACACACATATATACATAACGGGGGGTGTAAATTGTGTACAGTAATTTTTTAAAAAAGATATATTTATTTTTTGTTTAATTGTTAGAACTATTTATGTAATAATATAATTTTATAATTTAAAAAAAGAAAGGTTTATTTAATTGTGATTTTAGAAATAACAATTAATATTAATAAAAAAACTAATAAAAATGGTTATTTTTATTTCCTTGAATTATATTTTCGTGTGTGTGTACCTTCTTTTTTGGCTGAATCTTCAACTTTTTTTATGCCTTCATCATTGACATCACTTTTATCGTTGCTTGAAAAGTTGACAAGGATTGACTGGAATAACTTTTAATGATTTACCGTCTCAACTATGCTCATAAGAATTGCAGGTAAGATTTCCTTCAGGAAAATAAGGATCAAGCTATTTTACCTCTTTTATTAATGTCGACATCGCATATGACTCAAGAAATTCAACCGAGTAGGTAGATGGTGTAGGGGTCATTTCGAGGATCTTTGTAGGTACGAACAACTTGAGAGTACTTAGAGGGTTATCGATCTCCAGTAATTTGTTTGTTGGGTAGGTCCAACACAAATCCATTTTTCTAACATATATTTCAAAATGGTTTTCTGTCGACATTTGTCACTGTGCTTTCATATATGATTTGACATTCAACCTTCCCTAATATTCTACCCGAGGTGGTTCATAAATTTCACTGAAATGAAATACTGCTTGCTCTTTTATACGACATGAATGGGTGTAAATATAAACTTTGTATTTTGTCAACCTAATGGAGAATTTCACCAACAAGTTCATTTATTTTCTCAATGTGTATATATATATTGGTTTCAAATAGTAATCGCTTACTGAACTGGCCCGGATCTTTGATTGTAACAACTAGCGCAGCATCTTACATGAAACTGCAAATGGATTTTAGTTGATTTGACATTATTGCCACAAAACAAACAGCGAATCTAGGAAAATCAAATATATTCCAACCTGGTGGTGGAGGTCGTTTTTTGGCCCGTTGAAATAATAAGCCAATCTTGACCTCTTCCAAATTTGTAGAGTTATCTTATCAGTCAGGATAAAGTGAAATCTAGAGCATGTTTGTGCCAATGCCAATAAACCAGATGTTGGAGAATCTTCAATGTGGCGTGTATATTTATAAAAGGCGCCGTTTGTTTTTTTGTAATTGGTTGGATGTGATTCAACCTGAAGATGATTATTATTGTTGTTATTATTATTACTGTCATTGTCCGCACAAGTTTTCTTACGCTGTGAAACTTTTTCTTTATGTGATTCTTGACAAGTAAATAGGAAGACGGATTTTATAAATAATCTTGACTGTTGCAATGTTTTTCTCTCTTTCGGTTCTAACAAATAATACTTGGCGATTTGATGAGGGAAATGAAAATTCCAATAATCAAATCATTATACCCACCAAATATAGGTTTGTACTGAAACATTATTTTTTATTCTTAAAAAAGAAAAGTCTGCCTCGAAATCAATTTTTCAACTAGCATTTTTCTCCCGAATTTTTTGTTGTCGTTTTTCATCATGATGATGATGATGATGATGATGATGATGATGATGATTCCATCAATAATGCCTATATCAGTTCCTAATCCTACATTGTCATCCACCATATTCTTTGAGCAATTTCAAAAAAATATTCGTTTGCTCCAATTTATGGTGCATATTAATAATATAAAGTAGTTATTATATGGTAGATAGTCTGGTCCCCTATTAATAAAAAGTGATTTGATGAGGTTGTTAATACTAACATCAAAGATACGATGGGCTTTTGAGGGTTAAGGTTTGGTGAATTCGTTAATTTCGGCAAATTTGAAACACATCTTGAATTATTAATATTATTAAATGATGATGACGATAATGATGATGATGATGCTGATAAAAATGATTATCACTAAATTTATGTTATACAATTTTGTTAAGGAAAGAAGGAAAGGCGTTTTTTCTAATCTGGTGCTTGTGTTGCTTTCTTATGAAGGAAAATTAGAATAGGCTTGTTATTTATTATTTCTTGACGGAAAGTATCAACTTCAGCAATTAAATCCTGTTTAAATGTTATACTAAGTTTCGTGAAACATAAAATAAAGTGAGTTTTTAAAACAATTGTTTCAATTCTTTCAAAAATAAATTAATTATTTTGAATTCTGAATTTTAAAAAATTTAATAATGTATAAATACATTGAAGTTCACATTGGTGAGAAAATTAAAGTAGTAAACATCATTTGATTAGTATTTTTAATTCGCTAATTATTAAAAAAATTTTGTTAAAAAATAGTTGAAGCAAAAGACGTTAAAGACACTGATACTATTGGTATGTGAAGTGAATATATTAATAAACAATGTATATTTGAATTATAATATTTTTTTTAATTAAAAATAATTTAATTGATATCTTTTTATATAAATAACTAATAGGCAAAGGTTTGTATGATAAAAATTTTTAAAAAAACTCTTCCACAGAAAACCATTATGTTAATTATTTTAATTTATTTAGGTGATCCATACATTCAATTTTGGTTTGATAGTTCTGCTACAAAATATAGAACTGATGCGAGGGCTGGAACAGCCACTCCTGTTTGGGATAAAAAATTCAAAATGTTAGTGTGTATATATATATATATATAATTCATGATAATAATTTGTTATTTCTAATATATTATTGTTATTTACATCCTCTTTTCCTCAAAAATTTAGCAAATATGAAAATCAAAAGGTTCTACATCTTCAACTTCTAGACGATGATGTCGGCAAAGATGACATTGTAAATATTGGCAATTTTTATATAATTGTTAATTTAAAATAAAAAATTTTGCTTAATCACACAATATTTAATAACATATTATTAGATTGGTGATGCGACATTAGAGCTTAGTGAGTTTGAACGTGCTGATGATAAAAGATACGTTGATAAATGGTGTAGTGTACAGTCTAAGGATGATGCAAAATCTAATGGCGAGGTCCGTGTTATTTTAGAACTTATTGATTAGTTGAATGAGTGAAGTAATTATCTTTACATATTAAGTATTCCTCTTCTCTTCATATAAATATACATTTATGTAAATTATTAAATTATTATGCTTGTATCTTTCTTGCAAATTGGAATTTCTCATGTACAAAATATCAAATAAAAATTTTTTTTTTTAAAAATTTTATTAAGTTAAAGGTTCAATAAATTTGATAGTGTCTAAACAATCAAAAAAGTTGCTACCTCCAATTCTGGTTCTTCCTCGACTGTTGAAATTAATATTGTTTATGATTAATTTTAGAATTTTATCCAACCAACACAACTAAATCAAATTGTCATGAATTATTGAAATCACCGCTACCGTCGAAATTTATAGCCTTAGAACTTACTTGTCGTGAAGCATCTTCAACTTCAAAGAATCTGCTTCTTCTTTTATGATTTTTTATATTTGGTTTGGCATGTTTTGAATTAATTCTTGTCTAATGATTTCCATCACCCCTTACATTAAGATATTTATTACTAGAGCGTAAAGCACTTTTCCAAAATTCCAAAAGTTGTTATTTATATCCAAACTTTTTTCAGTGTAAAAAAATTAATCATTATTAAAAAGTTTTTTTCGTTTTTGATTTATTTGTGAAAGGAACTTCAAATATATTAATAATATTTTTTCCGATTGTAATTATTATAAGTATTCTATATTCTTATTATCAGAAACATCAATATGGACTTTAGAATCTTCTAAAACATTATGATTTAAAACATCTGCCTTGTTCAATTGTTTCATCATCAAAGTTCACACAGTCCACGCAACTATTAATCAATTCGAAATTAGAGTTACAGTCTACTCTCTCTATAACGACCCTCTCTATAACGACCACCAAGTAAAATTTCTCTATAACGAACTTCCCTTTTGTCCCCGTTTCAATTTTTTATAATTAATTTCTCTCCCTATAACGACCATCTTAATAAACTCTCTCTATAACGACCAAAAGCAGAGAAATTAGATATAGGGACAGAAGGTTCGTTATAGAGAGAGTGAACTGTATATTTAATTTGATCGGACAAACGTCATGTGAAATAAATTTATTTAATATTTGTCATCAATAATTGATATTTTATAACCTTCTGAATACTTTTTTATGCATATCGTTATCTTCTTCCATGTTTTTATGGCAATAAAACTACTGGTTTTATTTATATAGATAGATGTTGATATCAATATTAATTAATGCAGAAAGAAAGGGGGCGTAATGTAACATAACTGTATTGTATATTTTATATATATTAATTATATTAATATGTATAAGACTCCGAACGAATTGAGTCAAATTTTAAAGTGACTCAAACCAGAGTTTTAAATTGATGTTATACTTTAAAAGTAAAATGTACCCATAACTAGAATAAGATCATTTCAATGTACAGAATAGGTACTAGTGCTGAATAGATGTGGAATGAATACATACTAATATGGAAAAATATACTTTCCAATACTAATATCCTAAAAATATGGAAGTATTTTTGGTCTGGGCAATAAAAAAGAACATCGTGATTTGAAAAAAGATTTAAAGAACAACATCTCGAAATCTTACTATGCAAAATGGGTATGGTCTTTTTATATTGTCCAGACCCTTCTGTAGGTGAAAGTCCATTTTTTTCTATATTAATATGTATATTCCGCATTGGTATGTATTCATTTAACATTTAACATTAAGTTAAGATTGGATGGATATAAAAAATAAGGAAGTATCTTGCATAAAAACATCAACCGTTCTTATATATATGTATATTTTAACTTTAGTGGTTATTATATTGGTTGCAACATTAAAGATCGTTAAACTTTATACATTTAATAATATTATTTCAATTCAATCATTAACACCAAAGGAACAAAATTAATTATTTCGCAATAAAAGCTATTTATTTGTTTATTTTATTAATTTATGCATGCTAATTATTAATTATTCAAGTTATTTGTTTTATTTTCTTTTATTCAAATTATTTGCTTTATTCAAATTACTATTCATTTTATCATTTTGTTCATTTTGTTCGTTTTATTCACTTTGTTTGTTTCATTTGTTTTATTCCATTCATTTTTATTCGATTTATTCATTACTCAAATTGAATCACTCAAATTATTCAAATTATTTTTCATTCAAACTATTTGTTTTATTCAAGTAAACCTTATTCGAATAGAAACCCTAAAGATTATGATATTATTTTAGTACAAAGAGCTTTAGAAATATTTAACCAATAACTTAATTACAATTCTATAATTAGTCATATGTCTTTAATAAAACAAACACGACTTAGCTATTTAATCATTTCCTTGTATGTGAATGCCTCCATCCATCAAATATCCATGATGGTCATGAATATGTTTGCTGTTATAATTGACACAACAAGCAATTGCATCACCCAGGTAGTAATGATACCAAGGCCATGCATGAATGAAATTTTTAATAATGTGTGTCTACCCAGATCTCCGGGGTTCACAATAATAGATAATAAATCTGATGTTGATTACAGGCGCTAGATTTAATACAATTTTCCTGTCACAAACACGAAATAAGGCATTTTCATGCCTCCTCATAACTGTGGATTTTCTTCCACAGGTGAGGTAACTCAAACATGTTGGAGGCTTTAGACAAAACTTCCCCTTATCTCCCCCTCAGACCAGGCTGGCTGTTGTCATATGGGCATTGATCACTGATGAGGATTGGCATTTCTGTGAAGATTTCTTTGTGTTATATACCTCTAGAATAAAGTCAGTGTCTGCAACTGATTGATGCTTTGGATTTTCCTATGTTCAGAGTTTTGATCCTGGGTTGTTGTCTTGTTGGTGGCATGCCTACTCACCCCCATTTTTAAATAACAAATTCAGTTAGTTAAATAAAAATCAAAGAGAAACAGAGAATTTGGGAAAATAACTAATTTATAATATACCAAACAAAATCTGAACCATTTTATAATTTCAGGGCCACCAACCCTGCTCTGAATTGCAACCTCCCGTGCTTGAAACGAATTGCAGATTATCTTAATATTTCTCCAGGGTTGCGACTTGTCACAGAGCCATCTTTGCCCTAGGAGTAGGATTGTTGCAGGTGGCTTTTTGTCTAATGTGCTAGCAGCCTTCTCTGGTCTGGGGAGATTAGTGAAAAGTGTCATTGATGATTGATGTAGTCTCGGCAAACTCCAGTTCCACACGCCTTCTGCCCTATAGAAAATAAACATATGGAATGTATAAGAATTTCCTTATATTTGATACAGAATAAATTTTTAGATACGGAATGGACGTATTTAATCTACGTTTTGAAATTTATCAATGTAATGCAATTTATGGATGTATACGGAAAATGTACGGAATTAAGAAAATTATAATAATAATAATAATACTGAAAAGGTATGTTTTGATTCCGCATATAAGGTACGGAATTTGTAACATGCTTTTTGATTCCGTATATAAGTACGGAATTTATAACATACTAATACTGAAAAGGTACGTTTTTGATTCCGCGTATAAGGTACGGAATAGGGTACGGAATTTGCAACATACTGAAAAGGTATGTTTTGATCCTGCATATAAGGTATGGAATAGGTACATATTAGTACTCCCGCCTATATTATTGAATGATTGATAAAACATTCGTTTTGCAAACTTCATAGATCTTGACTAACACTTACTTCGCCTATATAATTATTGAATAATTGATAAATATTCGTTTTGCAAGTTTCATAGATCTTGACTAATACTTGCTTCGCCTATATAATATTAAATAATTGACAATAATAAAATGTTGATTAAATATATTTATAAACAGCTTTGTAGATCTCAACTTTAATACTTGCTTCAATCAAACCCACCTATATATTATTGAATAATTGATAACATTCGTTTTGCAAGTTTCGTAGATCTCGACTACTTTAATACTTACTTTGATCAAACCCGCCTATATAATTATTGAATAATTGATAAACATTCGTTTTGCAAACTTCATAGATCTTGACTTTGACACTTGCTTCGATCAAACCCGCCTATATAATTATTTGAATAATTGATAATAATAAAACGTTGATAAATATATTAACTACTTTAATACTTACTCGCCTATATAATTATTGAATAATTGATAAACATTCGTTTTGCAAACTTCATAGATCAAACCTGCCTATATAATTATTTGAATAATTGATAATAATAAAACGTTGATAAATATATTAACTACTTTAATACTTACTTCGATCAAACCCGTCTATATAATTATTGAATAATTGATAATAATAAAACGTTAAATATATTTTGCAAGTTTTATCAATTATTCAATAGTTTGTGTAGGAGTAATTCATATTTGCAGAATTTTCAATCATATTTGCAAATCTCATTGTACAAAAGTACTTGAAATTTTTTTTTTTAAAAACATTAATAACAATTTTTCTTTTAAAAACATTTATTAATAACAATTTTTTTCTTTTATATATTTATTATGTAGTATGGTTAGAATTCGATTAGAGCTTCCTAAGAATCAGAAAAAGCAGAAACAGCTATTTTAACTTTCCTCGAAATAGACATTTATTATTATTATAAATAACATTAACATTTTTTTTACTCGAAGTTCCTTTTATATACTTAATATGTATTATGGCTTAGATATTCAATAAGAGCTTTCTAGGAATCAGCAAAAGCGGAACAGCTGTTTAACTTTCTTCGAAATAGACATTTATTATTATTATACATAACATTGATAGCATTTTTTTACTCGAAATTTCTTTCATATGTACTGTAGTATCGTTTAGATAAATCTGATTAACTTTCTAGGAATCACCAAAAGCGGAAAACAGCTATTTTAACTTTCCTCGAAGTAGACAAAGAAATGTATGGTAGTAGTATAAATTATAATAGTACAACATGATGTTATTTATTTAACATACTTTCTTCTTATTTATTATCCTAATTGTATAATGTGTTTCTAATAGAAAGATTTATCTTCAATTGAAAAAATCCACTTGTAGATTGATGGCTTATTACATTACACACTGTATTAAGGATGATAACTTGGAGTTGGTGAATAAATATGTGGCGAAGATTGTATTTTTATTTATACATTTACTGCATACTGCTGATCTTATATTCTTAGATTATTTAACCGTTTTACATAACATTGTTTTTTTTTATATGCTATCTTATATTTTTAGATGATACATCAAGTTTCAACTAAGGAGTTAGCAGATAAATACGAGGCGAAGATTACAATCTTATTAATTGTTTTACATGTTCATACTATACTGAAGTCAAAACGGTTAAATTATGTCATGTCACATGAGAACCAATGATCTAACTTAATGAAACATGGCTTATTAGAATAGTATTGTAAAGGTAATATAATGGTGTTTTAATGTTCATAATGATATACAGCAAACAAAAATATCTCATTAACTAGTGATTCGAATTTTATGAATTAGACATCTATTGAGAGAATTCGAATGGTAGTTGTTTTTATTCAAAACAGCCAGATATTGGTAATTTCAGTTAATTTGATACGTTTTTTCTCATGATATGTATTACTTTATTAATAGCAATAAAAAATTATAATTCATACGGAATTTCCGTATCTATAGATCAAATACATGTAATTTCATATTAATATGGAAAATTGCGAATTTCCGTATATTTTACAATTTTTTCCAGAATAATTCCTATCTTTTATAATAATCATTTTCCATAGCAATAAAAATTGTAATTCATACGGAATTTCCGTATATAAATTTCTATAGATCAAATATACGTAATTTCAGTTAATTTGATACGTTTTTTAAATAAAACCTCATGCACGGAAAATTGCGAATTTCCGTATATTATTATGTTATTATACAAGTATAACGGGATAAATAGTGAGTGTCATTATAACGGGTGCGCGTAAATTTGTATTTATAAATTTGGTTTTTAAAAAAATGTCATTATAACAAGATTGTCATTATAACGAATGTCATTTATAACGGGAGTGACTTGTATAATTAAATCATGATAAATGTAATGGATGATTTATGGAAATTAATAGGAATAATCTAAACATTATAGCCAAACAATTTATTTATTTATTTTACTATTTAAGTTTAGAAACATTTGGATAGATGAGATTATCTTATTTTTTTTAATCATTATAAATAGAATATTATTTAAGAAATAAAAAGGATAACATTTTTGTTCGTAAGAAAGTGTTTAATTTGTTTTTGAAGTGTTATGGATATTTGAAAGTGTTGCTAATAATAATAATGAATTAAATAAAAAACATAAAAAACACAATACTTGTAGATGAAGACTTGGAATTTGTTGACACCTTTAACATTATACATCCTGCCGATGATGTTGAGGCAAAGTGGAAATTACAAGATCTATTTAAAGATTCTCTTGGGTAACTGCATATTTAATTTTGCTAATAAATGAATAAAAGAGAAAATTTGGTTTTAAATGTATTATGAGATAAATTAAAAGATTATTTTATTTTAGTTATTTGATAAAATTCATTATAAATTAAGTTTAATATGTTATGACATTATGGGCTAATTGGACTTATAATGTCCAATTAGTTTTCTTTTAGCCCTTTTGTCCTTACGGTCAATTAGCTTGTGCCCAAAAGCCAGTTGACTGGCAACACCACCTTTAATCAAGACAATAAATAGTAATAGTAAGGTTATAAATAATTTTATTTGAAGAATTATTAGTGTAAATCATAATTTAATATTATTATTAAGTGAATTTTAGAAATCTATTCTTGATTCATTGTAGTTTTTTGTGATCATCTGATTGTTTTAATATTAAAAAATTCTTGTTTCAATGGGATTTTTGTGATATTAATATTATTACTATTTTTAAAACTAATGTCCGTTTTTTTACCTCTTGTTAAATTACTTTATAATTATGAACAACTGAAAAAGTGGGTGAAAAATATGAAAAAAGTAGTAATATAGTGATACTACTACAGTGCAGAATAGTGTTGGTCGCCAAAACTATTTTGAAGAGGTGAAAGTCAAAACTAAAATTAAAAGTTATATGTCAAAACTAAATCAAAAGTCAATAGTCAAAAATCAAAACTAGTTTCGACTTATGGCGAAACCTTTTGACTTTCGCACGGTTGCGAAACTCTCGAGTTTTGGAAACCAACACTAGTTAATACCTAACCAGAGGTACTTATTTTTATTTGTATTGATATTTTTTATTTTATATAAATATTTTAATTGGAAATCAAAACGCAGAGCAGATCTTGCTGGGTAAATAATTACAAGATTTTCATTGATAATATTTTGCTTTTTGTAATCCATAATATTAATAATAATAATATTATTATATTATTATAATTACAAGATGCCAAGACAACACACCATTGAATATGAAACATTTTGATATGCAACGTTTGATTATTGGAAATTTACAGGCGTTGAAGCACACATGCTGCCTTGAACACTTTACAGTCATTCTCTCATCTTCCTCATGTACACAAGGCTAATCTGACCAAGATGCCCCTGATGATACAATGATGCAACAGAATTCCAGGGGGGGGTAACGTGGCCCTGGAGTTTACCGAGACTGCACCACCGTCAATGACACCTTTCACTAATCTTCCCAGACCAGAGATGGCTGCTGCCATGCTAGCCAAAAAGTTGCCTGCAACAATCCCACCTCTAGGGTAAGGATGGCTCTGTGACCATGTTGCAACTCTGGAGGAATATCAAGAGAATCTGCAACTCGTTCAAGCACAGGAGGTCACAATTCAGAGCAGGGTTGGCGGCCCTGAAATTGCATTTGGGCTCTGATGTTAAGAGGAAAGTTGTAAAATAGTGTTTGTTTTGTATAATCACTTTCATAAATGCTCTGTTTCTCTGATGCTAACCAATTTATAATTTTGGGTAAGGATTGAAATGGGTTTTTGCCCAATCAGTTCCCCTGTTATATAGTTTAAAAATATCGCATGATTATATACATCCTTGTCAGCAATATGGCCAACAAGGAAAAAGTTATAAAATGGTTTGGATTTTGTTTGGTATGTTTTGTTATAAATTAATCATTTTCCCAAATTTTCTGCTTCTCTTTAATTTTTATCTGACCAACTGAATTTGTTATTT